AAAATATAACAAATAATATGAAAATGTGTTTAAAATATAAATAAAACCCGAAATGAATTCAAATGAGACATAAAATGTTGCATTTCTTCACACTTTCCATACATTCCTCGCATACATAGCATTGAACTGTCAGTTCATCTCACAGTCAATGCATTTCATAACAATCACAACAACACAAAAATCAATGGTTAAGGGCTTCACACAAATGATGTGCCACTGAATGGGTCCCCCATTGGTGTTTACATAGCATTGAACTGTCAGTTCATCTCACAGTCAATGCATTTCATAACAATCACAACAACACAAAAATCAATGGTTAAGGGCTTCACACAAATGATGTGCCACTGAATGGGTCCCCCATTGGTGTGATTGGCTAAGAGATTGAGCCAAAGAGATGGTGAGATGTTTGTGACGTCATTCATGTCGTGAATATGTTCAGTGGTGTCAACAATGGCCACTACATCGCAGTTGATATTTGACTCGTTGGGTAAGTGTCACTTCAATCACTTCCATGTCATTCACACGCATGCAGACACTCCGGGTGTGTAGGCATCACCATAAGAGTGCCACCAATGAGACAATTATAGCATAACATCGAGTTTTGTCGACTCCTTATGAAAGACAATGTATTGAAGAGTTGAGACCCAATGCTAACGACTCTTAAAATGGCTTCAAATGAGCGAACGGTTGACCGCTAGTGACCACAAAGGGCACCAACACCTCAGTGCACGGCATGTCTGTCCACTCACACCAGTGTTGGTGCGCCTGAAGTGATGGGCAAATAGTTGTTCCCAGTTTTGTACACTTAATGACGGGTAGTGTGTAGTTGTGTTGTAAGAGCCCTCACTTGTGTCAGCCCTACGCACAGCCCATACATACACTGCTATTCTCACTGTCCCTCTCATCCCTTTCCATCCCTTTAGTGCCTACACTGTGTCACCTAATTGTGACCATTTGTGACCACTTTATTGATAATTGTAATGATATTGATGTGATTGGATGATAGAAATGGTGATTTAGTGGTCATATGTGTGGTAAGCCATCACCAAATGCCACCAATGAGTGATGTGTGGTATGGTATGGGAAGAGCCTTATGTGAGTTAGGCTGGGATGGGATGGCTATCCGAACGGCTAATAGTTTTCAAAGTTAGCATACATTTGGTCACAACTTTCAAACTAAACGCTACAAAAGTTTCTCATTTGGTGCACATAATTGTCTTAATTTTACATTAATTACACTTAATTTACAAATAATTTGTATTAATTCTGTATAAATCTATATATTTTTCAAATGATTTACTGAAAAATAGCAGTGAGATTATACCAAGTTAAATTAGTTTTACAAACTTTTTCCACAATGCTATAATCACATTTAATATCCAGTAATATGTAAAAGGTAAACTAATTGATTAACTACAAGAATTAAATGATATTTAATTTCATTTCTACATTAAGGGTTATATTCATGAGTCTTACTGTGATTATTTAAGCTATTAATTAGTTTTCATTATAATAATGCGATTATAAAATATGGTAAACATAATTTTAGCTGTTCAACTTAATATTATTAAATATTGAGATTTTTACTACCGGTAAATGTTATTTTATAGTTATTTTAGAACTCATTTGACTAAAACTTGAAAACAATATTGCTATTTTTAATATAATTGCATTCATATTAATTGCTTAGCATTGTATGAGCACAGAAATTGAAAGTTTTATCACAATTGTCATTTATAAGTTACTAATTATTACAATACTTATTACTGTACTATTTATGGCATTAAATTTAGTAAAAATAGTGAAATACTGTCTATTGATTAGGTGTGCCAACACTCGACAATCAAACAGTTTTAGCTGTTCAGCAGTTCTTCAATGATAACACCGTTTCAAACCTCGCAAATGCCGGTAAGATTTGCCACAATGTCTTGTTTTATTAGCAAATAATTACATGATTTAAATGTCGACATCAGATGTGGAGGAGGAGGAGGAAGAAGACGTGTTTCAATGCGGGAAATGTAAGAAACAGTTCTCAATATTGAATGCATTTGTGAGCCATAAGAAGGAGTGCGGACGCAAATCCACGCTTAACAGGAATATCAACCAATTGTTGCACTCGACTCACGACAACTTGAAGAACCCAAATGTCTCTCTGGGCTCTCATCTAACACTTCCGACGTCCCCAACGCTGCCAACCATAGCCGGTGGTGTCATTCTAAGCGAATCGGATCTCTTATCTCTGACCACAAGTCTTGAGCACAACATCGGGAGTATCTCTTCCATCAGTCCGTCTGGTCTTCACATAACTGGCGACAGCTCTTTGGGTACAAACGATGGGAACGACACCTTCTCTAATGTATTGTCTGGAATCTCTTCTAACAATACCATTCACACGACCACTAATACCGTACAGACATCACAATCTCTGGGATTACCCGTCTCTCTACTCAATAATTTGGTTTCGACACCATTTTTGGTTCAAACGACAAACACTTCAAACAATTCTATGAATACCTCTTCAGTGACTCTTCCGTCGAATTTTGTGTTAAATATTCAGTCAAATGCTATGAATAATAGCAATTCGATCCCAATAATGATCGCCACTTCTAATTTGACACCAATTACATCGACTGTCACTCAGTCTAAGTCCACTCCAATCCAAGTCTCTAATATTAAACCCAAAGAATCTCAAAACAAAGCTAATGTCCAGCAAAAGAAACAGTTGGACGCAGCCATCCATGTATTGCCCTCTTCTGACCTCAAGGCCTCCACTCATAAGACTCGCAAAAGAGTCATCAAAACTGAAGTGACAGACGCTATGAATCCAGTTTCGCCCAAACGATCGGCTAAATTGAAGTGCACTTTCTGTGACCGTATGTTCACTCTATTGTCAGATAATATATACATTTTCAATGATTTGATTCTCTTTAAGGGAGTTTTAATAAGAATTTTGATTTACAACAACATATCCGATGTCATACGGGAGAGAAACCTTTCCAATGCATTGGTTTGTTTGACTTAATTGTAATCACATTTGAGACATTAATTGACTTCTATTTGTCTTTTACATGATTCATGATATAGTCTGCGGCAGAGCTTTCGCACAAAAAAGTAAGTGAAAAAGTTTTTTAAATGTCAAATACTGTACAAATACTGACAAATACTGTATTGACATAAATGTTGATGAATCGAAGGTAATGTCAAAAAACATATGCAAACACACAAAGTATGGCCGGACGGGTTGGCCCATACACTACCACCACAAGCGTCTATGGATATGCTTAAAGACAACAGCAATGATGACAGTCTTGTGGAACCCGAGAGGATGATTGAGTCGAGCGATAGTAACCAACAAATAGACAGCAGTTATGTGTGTCCGTACTGTTCGTATACTAATGGCAAAAGTCAAAAGTTTAAGAGTTATTTCGAACTCAAAAGTCATATGAAAACTCATAAACGAGAAAAAGTATACAAATGTATTCAGTCTTCGTGTGGAGTCATGTTCTCAGAGTTAGAGCCCTTTTTGGGTCACATCCAGACTCATGAGACAGAGATGACCTATAGGTGCCATCAATGCAATAAGACGTTCAGTTCTCTATACGATCTGGGATTACATCAGTACTCACACTCTCTGTACCCAAACCAAGGCTCACGAACGGGACAGAGGTTTGCGAATTATGTTCACTTCTATTTAATCTCAATTAACACAAGCCTTATATGCTTTCCATAAAATGTTAGGTATTTCCGATGTCAGAAATGTCTTAATAAGTACACAACACCGGCGGCCCTGGAACACCATTTGGCCACATCTACCCATCACTATCCCTGTCATAATTGCAATAAAGTGTTTCCCTGTGAGCGCTATTTGAGGCGCCATTTACTCACTCACGGCTCAGGTCTTCATATCTGCCAATACTGTGAGAAGACATTCAAAACCGCTAACTATTTGAAAGTCCATTTAGTCATACATACGGGTAAGCAATCTAACTGTCATTAACTTTGATTTAAACTAATTATACCGGTATTCATGCAATTGTTAGGAGAGAAACCTTTTGCTTGCAATGTATGCGACGCTGCCTTCAATCGGAGGGACAAACTAAAGCGCCATAAACTGGTTCACGACCCCATCAAACGGTTTAAATGCCCGTTCAAAGCACACACCGGTTGTCCCAAAGAGTTCAATAGACCCGACAAACTAAAGGCACACATTCTGACCCACAGTGGCATTAAACCACATCAGGTATGGCTCGTAAATATGCAGCAAATGGTTGTGTTTTAATTGACGACTTATTATGTCAATCAGTGTAATGTGTGTTTGCGGTCCTTCTCACGTCGAGCACATCTCCGAGAACACCAAAAAGGACACGAAAGCGCCCAAAATGTAGAGATCACTACCAACACGACCACCACTACCACTATCACCTCCACTCCCAACGCTGTCCACAATAAAACTGATTTCATAACTCTATTTGATTGTGAAAAGTGTGGAAATCTGTTCGCCTCTGAATCAGATCTGAAGAAGCATTCGTGCGAATCAACGGGTAATGCGATGACACTCAAGACCAAGAAGAATGCGAAAGGAAATGTAAAATTAGCCAAAAAGACGAATTTAACGACCAGTTGTCTGACATCGGGCACCAGTACTGTCACCACAAGCAGTATTGGCTACACGAAGACAAAGACGAAGCCGTGTTCGGTAAACGCGACGCTCACGACAGCAGTATTGGGCGACTCATCCGATCAGATGACACCTAAAGACTCGTCAAACAGTGAATTCACGTTTCAGTTTCACGACGGACTCGACGACAACATACCCACCGCTCACATCGAGATCATTACAGCGCCTGTTGATATCGGCGGCTCTTTCCCACCCATCGTTACCATCGATGGCATACAATACCCAACGATTCCAATACTAACCAATTCTATTGACAGTGACTGTGAGGACAACGATAACACTAACAGCAAAGACGAGATGTCAACCAAAGTCCTGTTGACTGCTATCCCTTCACTAAAATAATAATCATCATCACAACTATTATAACTCTCAACCGAATTACATATTTATAAATATTAACTAAATCTAACATTATTTAAGACCACATTTTCTTAACTCTTATTTTATATCTATTACTATCGATATAAAAAGTGTATTTAAAAAATAATTAATTCAACGCGTATTTATAACTTTATTATTTGTAATTTAAAATTGTATTTAAATATTTTGTACATATACTCTAATAACAGTTTATTTATAATTAAAATAAATCTCAGTTCACTCTAAAAGTTAAAAATACAGTACAGTATAGTATATTCAATTTGCAAACATTGAATGCTGTGTATTATTACAGTAGTCTAGATAAAATAAGATTTAAATAATTTCAACTTTTGATTAGTTTTGTTTAATGGAAACAATTGTTTCCAGATTATCCAGATTATTGTGAAGTTGTATTGCTTTGGCTTTCAGTGCATTCATTTCCGTCTCAAAGAATCTCATGATTTGGATCCGTTTCTCACGTGAGCTCAGACTAGAGATGTCTTCCTTAAGGTTTGACAACCATTTGCGGTCCAGAAGAATGGGTCCGTCGTCTCTCACATAAAATGTGGTCCTTTTGTTGATGCGAGGAATGTATGGCTCACGAGTGGGCAACACCTCATCCATGCCTAAGTGATAGATAGGCAGCACTTCCAACTGCTTGTCACCGCTTTCGAGGTCATTATCACCGCTTTCGAGGTCATTGAATATGTAGTCCAATACGAGTCGAGACAAACCCCACTTCAACTCATAGGACGGCTTCACTCCGCGGTCCACGTCTTCGGTGACGTTCACGTCTGTGTCGAGTCGGGTGTTCATGGATTGCAGTTCCAGTTCCTTCGCATTCATCACTACCTTTCCCTCCGGAAAGAAGTGAAGCCATTGTCCGTCTCTCAGCAAATCCAACGCGAAGTCCATCGCCGGTTGATATATACCTCGGCCACGGATTATAGGAAAAGTTCGTCCCATAGAGAAGAACATTGAGTACAAACTGTTTGTGAAGCAAATCTCTTGAGCTGCGGCTGACCACCGATGACGGCCGGAGTTCAACTGCCACTTCAGTGGTATCAATGAGCCCCACATGAGTGGGTCGTCCAAACACGAGGAATGGTTTGATATCGTAATCAGTGGTCTCTTGTTATGATTGTTGTAATGTTTGGTCAAAGTATCCAATAATACGAAGTGATTGTGGACTCGACTCGAGTTCAGACATTGGATCCAGAGTTTGCTTATGAGACCAATGGTGGGAACTATGACTTTGGAGCCAATCTTCCACTTAATGCTCGACTTATTAACGGTGAAGTTCGTGAGAAGTGGTGGCCATTCAATGGCACTCATGTTTGGATCAAATGTGGTGACAGACTCGGAGAGCACCACTACTGCTGTATTGACTGCAATGTTATGATCGCATGGATTGTCCGACAGATGGAGTGATGTGGTGAGCGGTGGTCTGATGTGTGACTCGACTGTGGACTGCATTCAACTCGCATTGCATTCAACTATTTCTCTCTCTTTTCTGATGAACTCGTGTTCAAAACAATGCGTTAAATAAGTCCTCAAAATATATCGCATTTTGTTTTAATTGTGTTTTAATTGTCAAACCTTTCGGTCATATCATATGAAAATGTTTCACAAACTACTTCTAATTGTCTTACTATTGGTGCCCATATCTGTGATTCTTCAGCAGAACGGTATGCCATGAGTTGGTTATGGCTTACGTGGCATTTAATCCATTGGATTGCCATGTCTTGAGTGGTGTCTTATCAGTGATTACTTGTTTGACAGGACTTTCCAACTCTTTCTATGCAATGGCTGCGGACGAGCCCAACACTGAAGAGGCGGCCGATGTCGTGGAGGGCGAAGAGGAGGCCAACGTCGAGGACAGCGATATCTTGAAAGCCGGTGATGACGGCGACGACGACGATGGCGAGTCTGTGGTGTTGAAGCCATCGCCAGATATCGACACATTCTTCCTCTTCACAAAACCCGCCCAAAGCTCGTTAGGTCTCAATTGATCCAATGATTGCCACTTTTGGCGCTTTTATCGTATATTCACTGCTTTTATCGGTATATTGTTATCAAATTGATTGATCAGAACTTCCGGCCGGAAAAGAAGTCCACTTTTTGGTTGGTTTCGCCAATAAGGGCGCCAAAGACTATGTGGTCGACTCCATGGACGCCTCCTTCAGATACGCTCAAGACTTTAGTTTTCACTTACAAAATGTGTGCCATTTGTTGCCATTCATTGATTGATGATAAGTATTAACAGTTTGTGTGTTTAGTTCACAGCAATCGCTTACAATCGTCTGATTAAACCGAAACAAGAAGTGACTCTCGCCTACCAGTTCTTCGTGAGCGAGGCCTACAGCGCCCGACCCTATGGTTTCACTGTTAATCTCTTTTACAGAGACGTTGTATGTATTGATAACTTTTTTCTCAAGTGATAACTCATTTAAATAAATGATAACTTTTGTTGCAATCAAAGGACGGCAACCAATACTTGAACGCAGTGTTCAACGAAACCCTATCTATCGTCGAATTGGATGAAGGATTAGACGGCGAAACCTTTTTCTTATATGTCTTTTTGGCAGCTGTTGTCGTCTTGGTTGCTGTCGCCGCTCAACAATTCTTCGTCTCATTCAGCGTATGTTTTGTGCAATTGTTTGCTTTCAATGCATTCACTGTCAATGAAATGATTGCTTTTGATGACAGAAAAAACACATTTCATCGGCGAAAGCATCGAAGACGGAGACCGGAACTTCTAATCCAAATGATGTCGACTATGACTGGTTGCCCGAAGAGACCCTCAACTCACTCAGTATGTCATCAACTCTTGGATTTAATGAACAAATTATGAATTGATTTCTATTTTTACAGATAAGTCGCCGAAAGTAAGACAATCTCCGAGACAGAGACGAGTAAAGCGAGGGACGGGTTCTGCAGATGACTAGACATTAGTGCCTAATATATTACTCACGAAATTAGAAAAATGTCTGAAATTATCTAAAGTAATATCCAGTCATTCGTTACAAAGAAAACGTGTTTTTACTGTCATTTAAATCCAATCACTTAAATCCAATCACTTTTTATGGATTCAACGAAACCAATGAATGCATTCCATTTGAATTGACTTTATTTTGTTTGTTTTTGTGCCACAATTACAATACATTTTGGTTTTAATCATACTCTCGAGGGATTTGTCATTACTTGAAATTAGATTAGAATTTATTGTTTGAAATAATCATTGGAATTATTATAAGGGAATGAATTGATTGAAATATAACTCATATATTTACAGTAAAAGTCTATTCATAATAATAATGAATTTCATATAATACACGAGATTATAAATACGGTAATAGTGTAATAGCACCGGCATGCATGTCATTCAAAGCATAGCACCGGCCTCTTCATCGACGGCCCCACCGCTAGGACTTGAGCTCTCATTTGCTTTCATTTTTGCCGCATATTTTTGCTGTAAATTTCGGGCAATTTTTGTATATTCGTTGTCAAGACTTTTGATGAAAGGACTGTTGAGTCCAGTGACGATAGCCGTGGCATCCATTTGATCGAAACCGTCCAATAGTGTCGTCAAATAAGAGATCTCCGCGTCTTCGATATAACTATCAATCAATGGATACATGTATTGCCTTGAGTTGATCACATGAGTCACGTGACCACAACGCACTCACCTCTTGCCCTCTCGGAAGGCCTTCTGAGCGGAGACCACGTCCTCGTGGGCCAACTCGACGAGCACCAGACCCACGTAGAGTCGACCCAAACTCGGCCTGTCATCCGCTTCCAGCAAATGATTCATCGCTTTCCTCAACCATTCAATCGCGTCCTCATATCTCCTGAGTTTGAGATAAATGCGAACGGATTTGTTGGCGTATTCGGCCGCCTGTCGGGGCCTCTCCTCCAGCATCGTTACCTCCGACGCCTGACTGTACCACTCGGCCGCCTTCTCAGGCTTCACACTCTCGATCATCCTATCATCAAATCAGACCAACCATTCATTAATGATATTCAATTGACACCCATTCGAGACCTACTGAGCGCCGCGATTCAGGGTTAGCGCCGCCGTATCGACCACTCCGTGCTCTCTATACAGATAACACGACTGCTCCAAGTATTTGATCATTGAATCCCAGTTATTCATGTCTTTGCATACAATGGCCACCTGTTCATAAGCCCTGCAAATGTATGATTACGATTAAGAAATGGTCATTTAAATGGCTTTCCCTTACTTCGCGGCCGAGAAGTAAGACTTGTTTTTGAGATAACAGTCGGCAGCCTTCAGGTGTGCGTCCAGACACTTGTCTGCCATTTGCAGTGACTTAAAACACGTGGCTATTGGACACAAGACATATCAATAGTTGGCTATGAATGAGACAACCGTATGGATCTAATACCCGCTCGTGAGTACTCATTGGCGGCCAAATCGAAATCGGGTTTCCATTTGAGAAGACCTGTCTTAAGACTAAACCTTCGTTAGGGTATTGTATGAGATTCACACCAATGGACGGACTGTTGGACTTACTATTTGTCGGCCTTATTGTAGCACTCATTGGCTTCAGACAACTTATCACTCATTTCTGACCACCGCTTAACTCAGTGACAATCTCTGCAATCAATACAAACATCCATAAAATAATCACTTTTTTCACTCATTTATTGTCCAAAAGGTGTCTTTCTATGCATTCATAGCCTGTGTTTGGTTTTAGTCTGAAAACTGCTAAATTGAATCAATAATTGGCATCCAATACAAAACTACTTCAATGCACGACAGGTTATATTGTCTTCATTTATAAGTTTTATTAAATTTGATGTATGTTTCAAATGTTTATTAATTGTATTACATATATATATCTAATATAACTTATAGGGGAATTAGAAATCATATGACAAACAGTTATCTAAATTAAGTTTTGTATGCAATATATTCTTACTTTACTTATAACTTACAATTCCAACAATTCTTATGTACAGTAAATGACATTCAGTTTGAATATAAGAATCGTCAGAATTATTCATTTGATAGAAAGTCTCGAATAAATCGATATATAGTTAAGGAATCAATAAAATTATGAACAAAGAGTCGATTTCGTAATTGTAATGCTATTTAATGACATTATTAAAACTTATTATCAAAACTGCTGTCTCTCTCGCTATTAGAAAGTTATTGGAAACCAATGACTAATGGATTGATAAACAATTTTAATTAATCATTACTTTTGTCTATTTGTGGAAAACGAAGTCCAAAATTACGTGTTGTTCTCATATTTGAAACCATGATTAATATAATAGACATTATATAAGAGTTTCAAATATCATAAACTCATAAACTCTTTCAGATATTAATGGAAAGGGAGAGCAATGAGAGGATGGGGAGAGAGTAAACATTTTTAGGCTTTTATTGCCTTTCTATGTATGAATATAATGAAAATTTCTAAACAATCAAATTACAAGACATTAAATATATTAGTGAAACATTATATGTATTCAAATATCGCAACACTATAAACAATGTTAAATACAATAATAAGTGACTTATGAACGGGAGTTGATGTTATCTCTGAACATCAGTTACTACTCTATATTATCTGTAATAAAATGCCAAATGAATACAAATTAAGCAATTATTACAAACAAATCGGACATAAATCGGATAAAATAATTTCCTAATATGTTTCCTATACTGTACAGTATACAAGTCAACTGCATTTGCGATCAAATGACAAAAGTTATGTTAAGTACTAATAGTACGGTAGACGTGAGAGAAGTCTAAGAATAGCACTGGTGGTAGTGTACAGTAGTGTGTAAACCGTATGCACCCGTGTGGGGACACCTGCGATATACCTGTTCCCCAATTATACTTTACGGTGGGTTTACCAGCCTGGTACAATTGTTGGATGTGTCAGAGAGAAATGCATTAGAATTGGCTAATATTTACATAGTTTTAAATGCATTCAAATGCAATTCTATAGATATGACAAAAATAAGAATTTCTTTTTATAGGAATTGTAATTATACTGTATTTTCATTCATTTAAATGTTATTTGTTTAGCACTTGTATTGAAATTCATGTCAGTTTTCTTATAACTTAGTTAACGTTTGGCACAACATATTTGAATTATGTGTAAGACTTAATGTATTAAGAATTGAATTCAAAATACATTTGAAAAGAATTGCATTTTGCAACCATAAGTCCATAACTCACTGTAATGTTTGAGGCAATGACTCGATTATAGTCTTTTAAAGTTAGTTTGATTTTCACAAATAATCGTTTTATGAGACTTTAGCCATAATTTAATGGTATAGTTAATGGGGATGTCTTACAACAAGTCAAGACACTAATGAATACCTAAATGTGTGATTATTTTGAGAAAATAAGTTCATTGAAATGAAAGCCTTTTAGTGCTGATTCACATCTCTTTCCTAAGACTAATATTACCACTTCTTCTGATGCAACAAATATCCAATGAATAGATGAATAGTTTCTTAATTTTTTGCACAAATCATATAATTTATAGCGAATGCACTGTACGCCAGAGTACGTAAACTTAGCACTTATGAAATACTATTGAAATGATGACAAACATAAAACCTGTTGCCATAAATTATCATAACTATTAGAATATGACATTAGAATCACTTGATTACCGATTCTTACAATTATCTCTACTATTGGAACCGTTTATTTCAAGACATTCACACAGACTATGCATTTAGATAGCGATTGCATCGATCTTTCCATCATATCTTAAACGGGAAAATAAATTATATTTGGCTTATCATTGGGAACTTGCTTCACAAATCGCATAATCATTTCATACACAGTACTGCTATTATAAAACTTATATATTAATATTAGTATCCCAACAATAGCATCAATGTCATTTGCTATTCTATCACTATTAATATAAAAAAAACAGATTGTCAAAATATTTCTTAACCTTTTAAATAAATAAATCTTTCACATAAAAATTGTGTTACATGCTTATGTTTGATAATCCTAAACACTAAGCCATTTGCAAATTGCAATCATTTCTATGTTCTTTGTGCTATCAATGGAAACACTGTTTTCAATAAACTCTATGAAGCAAAATGTTATCACGTTTTGTAATCAACGCCAAAACATAATGATAGCCAAAACATAGTACAGCACAGCATAAGAGTAGTCTTTTGTCACATCATGTCCATTGAATTGATGAAAGTGTCACTCAATTCAGTGTTCAGACAGAGAGACAAACAGATGGCAAGTGCGAGGAGTGATGCGTTACTTCAGGTGTTATGTAATCAATGAAACATACATTGGCTTTGCATTCAATCACAGACTCCCTGTCCCCTAATCACTCCAACACACACATCATTTGCTAGGCTATGATAGTCACAATGATGTGCACTATGCACCAGGGTCACCTCATGAATCAATCAATCAATTGTTAAGCGATTTTGTGAATGAAAGTTATTTTGAAAATATTTTTTATGACAAAATGATTAGAGAAATGAGATTTGAAACAGAGTTGCGATACTATGTGTGAAACAATGGTGAGTTTGATGAGAGAGTGAAATGTGTGCCAAAAGTGGTATAATCTGTAAAACAAACAAATATTTGTGAATAAACTGTAATCAGACAATGACTGCAATCTTAGGCTTGTTTTGGTTGTGTTTTTACTAGGGTGGATAAAATACATGATATTTTTCCCGTCATGTATTATACAATGTATATACTGTATTATTCATGTATTTTTCTAAATAGTCATAAATAATAGTAATATTGATTTATTTCATACTTATAAATATTTACTCTAATTTTATAACTAAATTGAATATAAAACTAATCACGAATAAACTTCTAAAATGTTTTGCAAGTTTAATTTTCAATTCATCTGTTTTTTTATATTTTTGCTGTAAAGTTTGCAAGAATTATTGTCATCCATTTTGGGAAAAGTTTCCTAAACACATGATTTTGATTTACTTTTACTCAAATTTAATCAAATAAAATCAATTAAAATAATAATTTTGATTTTCAAACAATATTTGTAAAAGGAATATATAAAAGGGTGACTTGAACTCTGCTTACAATATGACTGTATAGCATTGAAACAATATTAACTTTGTTTTTATTTTATATTACTCATAGAGTTCATGTCACCTTTTCGTATATT